CTTTAGGTTTATTTTCTATAACAAATTCATGAATTTGTTTGAATTACGGCGGGAAATTTTAAATCGATATAAATCTTATTTCTAGTTGTTTTCTGAAGAATTGCGGTGAATTCCTTTCTCAATTAAAGTCACTTCAAATGCTTCCGATTCGGGGTCATTTCAAATCATTCAATTCAAACGTGTCCTAAAATTGCATTTCAATGTGAGAATTTGGGGAACAAAATTCAAATTAATTACTACGAATGAGATGCATTTGGAATAATCCACCAAAATGACTCAAAAAATTACTAAAAAAGTAGAGTTAAAGTTTGAATTGCAATACATACACATACAAACAAGTTTGACGGATTTGTTATTATTATGAATATCCTCCCTTCAATATGTTTCAATCCAAATGCATGAGGCATAGTTAAATTATTATTATGCATTCTTATAGAAAAAAAAGTAAGTTAATTATTATATATGATTGATATGTCATGAGTTATTTAGAACTCATTATAATTTTCCGGAGGAAATCGTTATTATATAGTGTCTAATAGTGATTAGACGATAGTATATGTTGGTAAACATCTTGTACCTTTGATCTTTTTCGACAGGAGTTCGATTTTGTCCGAAAAAGAATTAGAAAACCAGTAACTATGCTCCTTTAAATAAAAAAATGTCTAATTAATAGTTTTAGTAAGCCAATTATTTGGAATTAATTTATAAACTATTCTTGCACAAACAATGATGTTATTGAATTGATGTTCATTTTATTGCAGATTTTCATTTGTGATTGAACAAAAGTATTTGGATGAATGCTTTAATAATTTCACTTATAAGTGTTAACTATCTATGTGTTACCCCCTTAGTCGGTGATATCGACTATAACTCGAGTGTGGCCGAGTTATAGTTGAAATGGTGCCAAGAGTGTTGGCACAAGGCAAGCTACACATGGGCCAAACGGTGGCCGAGAGTTGGGCAAGTATTGAGGTGCTTGGTCGAGAGATACAAGTCAAGGGTTTCGAGTGATTGGCAAGCATTGAGGTGCTGGGCCGAGAAAGGCATGGCAAGTGTGGGCAAGGCAAGCGGGCTGAATTGCACGCGTGCGGGCGGATTCGATCCTTGGGCGTGCGTGTGCGCCGATTGGGCAAGCCGGGCAGCTAATTGACTCGGGAAGTTAAGGAAGGCAGTTGCGGAGCAGTTGGCATCAGCAAAGGCTTAGAAAACCGTCCCTTTATGTTGTATTAGCGAGCCAAGTGGCTGGCCTGCGTGCCGCCATGTGTCCCTTGGCAGTTTAGTGTGTAAACTGCATTGTAACTTGTATTTATTGGCCATAGAGAGCACAAATCCGACCCATTCAGATAGAGGGACTCAGATTGCAATTGTTAGCATCTGTTGTGAGGATTCTTTGTGTGCACCAAGGGCTTTCCTTGTATTGTTCGTGAGTGATTCAATAAAGGTTGAGCGTTGCTCGTAAATTGCTTGTGTTGTTCGATTTCCGCTGCATACTTGTGATTGTTGCTGTTCATTTGATACAACGATGGTGCCTTACGTTTGTGTGAAGAATTGTTGAGAGGGCTGACTGATTTAGTGCGTAAATCAGGCCGTACGGTGGGAAAATTTCGGTTATAAATTAACCCCTGTAACAGTTGGTATCAGAGCCCGGTTCTCGGGTTCTGAACGGTGTTCTTCGACATGGAAGATTCGGGTTCTTCCTCAATGATGAATCCTACACGAGCAGCGTTGCTCGATTTGGAAGCGAGATTGCAACGTCTTGAGACTCTTGTTGGGCCGCCCGTTGATCTGAGAGCAGCCCCTATTCTCCAACAACTTGTTGATGGGCAACAAGCGTTCGAACGGCTATCTAAATCTATACCCGATCTGCCGGAATTCGTGGAGACTAGGATGGCAAGTGCTGCTGAAGATCTCGGGTTGCTAAGTGATGCGGTTGAGGCCAAGTTTGACACGTTTTTGACGGATTTGACCATGGTGAAGCGGGCGATTCGTGAGGGGACGTCGAGTGCTGTTGAGGGCAGATCGTCGTCGTCCAAGGTACGGGTGTCTGAACCCGCTACGTTTGGTGGTGCACGTAGCGCAAAGGAGTTAGAAAACTTCCTTTGGGACATGGAGAACTATTTCCAGGCAGCAAACGTGTCCGATCAAGAGAAGGTGACCATTACGAGCATGTACTTGTCGGGTGATGCGAAGTTATGGTGGCGAGCACGTCTTTCCGACGATGCTAGTGCCAATCGGGACAAAATTGAAACCTGGGAAACGTTGAAGAAGGAGTTGAAAGAACAATTCCTCCCTTGCAACACGAGTTGGTTGGCAAGGGAATCCCTACGTCAATTGAAGCATAAGGGGTCCGTTCGTGAGTACGTGAAGGACTTCAGTTCCTTGATGCTTGACATTAGGGATATGTCGGAGGAGGACAAGATCTTTAACTTCATGGCTGGTTTGCAACCTTGGTCACAATCTGAGTTGCGAAGACAAGGCGTGAAGGATCTGCCGGGAGCAATTGCCGCTGCAGATCGCCTTGTTGATTACAAGACGGTTGGTGCCAAGGATGCTGAAAAGAAGGAATCCGGCAAGGATAAGGGCAAGATCAAGAAGTCGGGTGGAAAGTTTGGCCGAGATGGGAAGTTCAAGGCCAAGAAGAATTTCGAGAAGCCTACGGGAACGTCCAAACCCGTGGGGCAATTGACCGTTAACAAAGAAAACAAAGGCTGTTTCTTGTGTAACGGTGATCATCGAATGAGGGACTGCCCTAAACGAAGCAAACTGAATGCTTTGATGCTGGAATCGGATGGAGATAGTGATGACCCTAAGCAAGTCAATCCCATCCAGTTGCTGAGTGCCTTGACGGTCGAGAAGGTACCTAGCAACCCCAAAGGTTTGATGTATGTCGAAACCTTGTTGAACGGGAAGAAAGTGATGGCCATGGTGGATTCGGGTGCAACGCACAACTTTGTTGCCGTTCGAGAGATTGGAAAGCTGGATCTGAATCTCTCACAACATGCGAGTAAAATTAAAGCCGTGAATTCAGAAGCCAAGCCGGTGAGGGGCGTGACCAATGTAGAGTTGTGCATCGGTCCTTGGCGTGGGCAATGTTCATTTACTGCTGTACCACTAGACGATTTTGACGTGATTTTGGGGCAAGAATTTCTGTTGTCGGCCCGTGTTGGTGTCATACCTTTCCTGAGTGGATTGCTCTTCATGGATCCTAGTTGTCCATGTTTCGTGAAGGGAACGTTTGTGGAGAAGGCCAAAGAGAAGAAATCTGAGGGCTTATTGTCGGCATTGCAACTAAAGGCAGGTCTAAGACATGGCGAGCCAACCTGCCTGGCTGCATTGGTCGAAATCAAGCCGGATGTGTATCAAGAGGTGCCGGATGCCGTTGCTGAATTGTTGGCTGAATTCGAGGATGTGATGCCTCCTGAATTACCGAGAGAGTTGCCGCCTCGGCGAGCCATTGACCATAAGATCGAGTTGGAACCGGGGGCCAGGCCGCCAGCACAAGCACCGTATCGGATGGGTCCTTCGGAGTTGGCTGAGCTCAGAAGGCAGTTGGACAATTTGCTGAGTGCGGGTCTCGTGCAACCTTCCAAAGCTCCTTATGGGTCACCGGTTTTGTTCCAGAAGAAGCAAGACGGTTCAATGAGGATGTGTGTAGACTATCGGGCATTGAATAAGGTTACTATCAAAAATAAGTATCCTATTCCTAATGCGCTGGATCTTTTCGACAAGTTGGCGAGGGCACGGTTTTACACGAAGATTGATCTTCGGGCTGGATATTGGCAAGTCCGTGTGGCACAAAGGGATGAGGCAAAGATAACTTGTGTGACGAGGTACGGATCATACGAGTTCTTGGTTATGCCTTTCGGCTTAACCAATGCTCCCGCAACTTTCTGCAACCTCATGAATGATATGTTGTATGAGTTTCTCGATCATTTTGTGGTGGTATATCTTGATGATATCGTGGTATATTCTGAATCGTTGGGCGAGCATGTTGGGCATATGCGGGCTGTATTCTTGAAGTTGAGAGAGTACAAGTTGTATGCCAAGAAGGAAAAGTGTGATTTCTGTCGGGAAGAAATCTCGTTCCTTGGCCACATTATTAGCCAATGAAAGATCAAGATGGATATGAAGAAGGTACGGGCTGTGACTGATTGGCCCGCTCCTTCGAAAGTGGCCGAGTTGCGTTCGTTTTTGGGTTTGGCAAACTACTATCGAAGGTTTATCAAAGGGTATTCAAAGATCGTGAATCCTTTGACCGATCTTTTGAAGAAGGATCAGAAGTGGGAATGGACTTCAGATTGTGATGATTCATTTGAGAAATTGAAGGGTGCTATCTCTTCAGAACCGGTACTGAAGTTGCCTGAGTTCGACAAGCCGTTTGAGTTGCAAACGGATGCTTCTGACCGTGCTATCGGGGGTGTGTTGGTGCAAGACAAGCATCCTGTTGCCTTTGAAAGTAGAAAGCTGAAAGATGCTGAGATGCGGTACAGTACTCATGAGAAGGAAATGACGGCAGTGGTGCATTGTTTGGATGCTTGGAAGCATTACTTGTTGGGTACGAAGTTTGTGGTTGTCACCGACAATGTGGCAAACACATACTTCAAGACTCAAAAGAAATTGTCGCCAAAGCAAGCAAGATGGCAAGAATTCTTGGGTGAATTCGATTTCGAGTGGGTACATCGACCAGGAAAGCATAACGACGTGGCTGATGCACTGAGTAGGAAAGTTGTTGAATCCTACGTTAGTGCCTTGACTCGTGTGGAGTCTGATTTTCTTGAAAGGGTTCGAGAGGTAGCCAAGACTGATTTGGTCTACCAAAAAATGGCTGAGCAAGTACGGACGGGGCAGATTCGGAAATATTGGCTAGAGGATGGGCTGTTGTTTGCTAAGGGTGGCCGTGCTTATGTGCCAAGCAGCTCCCTTAGGCGTGAACTATTACGGGAAACACATGATCCGACGTGGGCCGGTCACCCCGGAATTGACAGAATGTTGGCCCTTCTTGCACGATCGTACTATTGGCCGAAGATGGAATTTGACGTTGAGGCATACGTCAAGACTTGTCTAGTTTGTCAACTAGACAAGACCGAGAAGAAAAAAGGAAGCCGGTCTGTTGCAGCCTCTACCTATTCCGGAGAGGCCTTGGCAATCGGTATCGATGGACTTTGTGTCGGGATTTCCGAAGGTGAACGGTAACGCTTCTATCTTTGTGATCGTTGACCGTTTCTCGAAATATGGGATTTTTATTGCTGCACCAATGGCTTGTCCGGCTGAAGTAGCTGCTGAGTTGTTTTTGAAGAACATTGTGAAGTATTTTGGTATTCCCGAAGACATTATCAGCGATCGGGATACTCGGTTTACGGGCCGTTTCTGGACCGCGCTATTCAACATGTTGGGGACTGAATTGAAGTTTTCTACGGCAAACCACCCCCAAACGGATGGACAGACGGAGCGAATGAATGCCGTGTTGGAAGATTATCTTCGGCATTATGTTAGCGCGAGTCAGAAGGATTGGGTCGGTTTGCTTGATACAGCCCAATTCTGCTACAATCTTCACAAGTCTTCAGCTACGGGGATGAGCCTGTTTGAGTTGGTGTACGGGCAGCAACCAATGGTGCCGCATGAGGTGGCATTGCAGCGAACCGGAGGAAAGTGTCCTGCTGCCTACCGCTTTGCTCGTGCTAGACAAGAATTGCTAGACGAGGCAAAGGATAGTTTGATGAAAGCACAAGCGAGGATGAAAAAGTATGCTGTTGCTCATCGAAGAGACGTGGAATTTCAGGTTGGTGATCAAGTGTTGCTGAAATTAACGCCTCAAATTTGGAAGAAGATCAGTTCCAAATCAGTGCACCGTGGGTTGGTGCCGAAATACGACGGTCCTTTTGAAGTGGTGTCAAAAGTTGGTCGAGTTGCCTATCGTTTGAAGTTGCCGGACAGATTGAAAGTGAATCCGACGTTTTATGTGAGATTTTTGAAGAAGTTCAACCAAGATTTGCTCGATGAAAGTCGGAAGCAAACGAAGCGAGCCCCACCCGTGGTCCGAAAGGAATTTGAGAGAGAAATTCAGCAAATCCTTGACCACAAGACCCAAGGTCAAAGCAAGAAGAATCGCGGACTGAATTTTTAATTCATTGGAAAAATTCAGAGGTGGCCGATGCTACTTGGGAGAAGGCGGTGAACCTGTGGCAGTTTGAAGACGAGTTGGCAAGATATTGGGAAAATCTGAAACGAGTGAACAGTTCGACGAGGGCGTCGAACACCGTTGGTGGGGGAGGTCTGTTACCCCCTTAGTCGGTGATATCGACTATAACTCGAGTGTGGCCGAGTTATAGTTGAAATGGTGCCAAGAGTGTTGGCACAAGGCAAGCTACACATGGGCCAAACGGTGGCCGAGAGTTGGGCAAGTATTGATGTGCTTGGCCGAGAGATACAAGTCAAGGGTTTCGAGTGATTGGCAAGCATTGAGGTGCTGGGCCGAGAAAGGCATGGCAAGTGTGGGCAAGGCAAGCGGGCTGAATTGCACGCGTGCGGGCGGATTCGATCCTTGGGCGTGCGTGTGCGCCGATTGGGCAAGCCGGGCAGCTAATTGACTCGGGAAGTTAAGGAAGGCAGTTGCGGAGCAGTTGGCATCAGCAAAGGCTTAGAAAACCGTCCCTTTATGTTGTATTAGCGAGCCAAGTGGCTGGCCTGCGTGCCGCCATGTGTCCCTTGGCAGTTTAGTGTGTAAACTGCATTGTAACTTGTATTTATTGGCCCTAGAGTGCACAAATCCGACCCATTCAGATAGAGGGACTCAGATTGCAATTGTTAGCATCTGTTGTGAGGATTCTTTGTGTGCACCAAGGGCTTTCCTTGTATTGTTCGTGAGTGATTCAATAAAGGTTGAGCGTTGCTCGTAAATTGCTTGTGTTGTTCGATTTCCGCTGCATACTTGTGATTGTTGCTGTTCATTTGATACAACGATGGTGCCTTACGTTTGTGTGAAGAATTGTTGAGAGGGCTGACTGATTTAGTGCGTAAATCAGACCGTACGGTGGGAAAATTTCGGTTATAAATTAACCCCTGTAACACTATGCATGGCGCATGAGCATGGTGTCGTAGAGAATATATGGGGAAAATACAAATTTTATCCATCAAGTTTGCATCGATTTCACATTTGGTTCTCCATGTTCGTAAAAACCACATTTGGTCCCTCATGTTTCAAAAATTCGACATTTTTGGTCGTTTTCATCATTTTTTTGTTAGTAAAAACGGAATCAAGCATGTGTCCAACACTGTCTTAATTGATAGATTAACGGAATAACGGTAAATTGACGGAAATAATCAAAAGTGTTAAATTATTGAAATATAAGGGACCAAATGTGAAATCAATGCAAACTTACGGTGAAAACTGTAATTTTCCCAAACATATATATTTATAAGATTTTGATTTTTAATCGTTCTAAGTCATATTAATATAATTATGGTATGTTATTTAACGTATATAATTTATTTGAGGCATAACAAGGACTAAATTAATATGAATTTTCGTATAATAGCTTGCAAAATCATACGAGAGATATAAACTACACTAATTGTGTCTGATAAATTCCACCTTGCCACCATATTCCGGGTAAACCTACGCGTTCATATAATAGCTTCCAAACCATACAAGAATTGTAAACCATACTAGGCTAACCATGCGTTACAAGTTCGAGTTAGCGACTATTGTCAAGTAAATTCAAACTTTGGTCAATTGACACAAACTCACTTGCTACAACTGTTAGATCATCCCTTACTGGACTTATTGTTGTTGTTACTTATTAGTGCTTCTACCACACTACCTACTATTAGTAGGTATACATACTCTTGAACTTGCAATTAGTCCATCAACCAAATAAATTGTTCAATAATCATCACATAAATTATTTTTCATCCCTTTTTCCAATATCACAAATAAATGTATTAAAATCATCAATAGAAGCTACTAAAACTAAATAAATATCAAATTGCTTTAAATTATTTATACTGAAAAAGATCGTATTTTCCACACTTTTAATTACTATATACACACTACTAATACAGATTAGACACCTGTAATTAATTCTTGGACTAAATGCATCAAATTACCGCAAAGAGAGGGGAAAAGAGAGAGAACCCTAAAAAAAAGGAGTAACAAATTAAATTGAATGAACAAAAAAAAACAAGGACCCTTACTTAATAACAAACTCCCACCAAAATCTCACTCTTTTACCCTATAAAAGCCCATTTCTTCATTGAGAATAAACACCAAGACAATAAATTTCGAGCCATTGCCAGAAGAAGAAGAAGCAACTTCCTCTTCTTCTAGGCATAATAAAACCGAAAAATAAAAATAAAACATATATATACAGTCTTGTTTGTAGTTCTTACAAAAACCAAAAAAAAAAAAAAGAATAAGCTATGGCTTCAAGCAGGAGCCTCTTCTCCGTGGCATTGTTCGTCTGCATGTTGGCCGGTGCAGTAGCGGAGGATCCCTACCTCTTCTTCGACTGGAAAGTGACGTACGGCACCATCGCACCACTCGGTGTGCCCCAGCAGGGTATATTAATCAACGGTGAATTTCCGGGCCCCATAATCAACTGCACGTCAAACAACAACATCGTGGTCAACGTCTTCAACTACCTCGACGAACCACTCCTCTTAACATGGGGCGGCATTCAGCAGAGGAAAAACTCGTGGCAGGACGGTACACCTGGCACTATGTGCCCTATTCTCCCCGGCACAAACTACACCTATAAATTCCAGGTCAAGGACCAGATCGGAAGTTACATTTACTTCCCGACCACCGGTCTTCAACGCGCTTCCGGCGGGATGGGCATGCTCCAGGTACACAGCCGTGAGCTGATTCCTGTTCCTTTCGATATGCCTGCCGACGAATTCGCCGTTCTTCTAGGAGATTGGTACAATAAGGGCCACAAAACCCTAAAGAAAATTCTCGATTCCGGCCGATCTATTGGCAAGCCTGACGGTATCCAGATCAATGGAAAGTCGAGCAAGGTCGGTGATGTGGCAGCTCAGCCACTCGCAGTCATGGAGCCAGGCAAGACCTACAGGTACAGAGTTTGCAACGTCGGGATGAAGCTTTCTGTGAATTTCAGATTCCAGGGCCATACAATGAAGTTGGTTGAATTGGAAGGGTCACACACCGTGCAGAATGTGTACGATTCTCTTGATCTTCACGTCGGGCAGTGTTTGTCTGTCTTGGTGACTGCCAATCAAGCACCCAAAGACTACTACTTGGTCGTTTCCAGCAGATTCTCGAAGCAGGTGATGTCATCTGTGGCTGTGATCAAATACAAGAACGCCAACGGAGCTGCATCGACGGTGATCCCACCACCACCAGCGGAGAACAGGGTCGGAATCGCGTGGTCGATGAACCAGTTCAGATCTTTCAGGTGGAACCTCACCGCCAGCGCTGCCCGCCCCAACCCACAGGGATCGTACCACTACGGGAAAATCAACATCACACGCACAATCAAAATCGCCAACACCCACGCAGTTGTTGATGGCAAGCTCCGTTTCGGAATCAACGGAATATCCCACGTGAACACAGAAACACCGTTGAAGCTGGCTGAGTACTTTGGCCTCGGCGACAAGGTTTTCACCTACAATCTCATGAAGGACGAGCCAACAGAGGGTGACAACAAACTCGTGGTTGCCCCAAGCGTAGTGAACGCGACTTTCAGGAACTTCGTCGAGATCATCTTCGAGAACCGTGAGAAGACTATCCAGACATGGCACTTGGACGGTTATTCCTTCTTCGCGGTGGCGGTCGAGCCAGGGAGGTGGTCCCCAGAGAAGAGGAAGACCTACAACTTGTTGGATGCGGTGAGCAGGCACACAATCCAGGTGTACCCTAATTCGTGGTCTGCAGTGATGACAACTCTTGACAATGCCGGTATGTGGAATCTGAGATCGGATATGTTGGAGAGGACTTATTTGGGACAACAGTTTTACTTCAGCGTTCTATCGCCGGAGAATTCATTGAGGGACGAGTACAACATTTTCCCCACACAACAGCTCTGCGGTATTGTCAGTGGTCTGCCCATGCCTGCTCCATACCATTAAAGAAGAAGAAGGAGAGGAAGTAGAAGCAGTCGGCTTCTTTAATGTTTCTTGATTTTGTAAACCAACACCTAAATGTATGTATTGTTTCTTTTCCGAATGAATAATAAACGATTTATTTCGATAACTGCTTCGATTAGTCAGAGTACCACAATCAAGTAACCCATTACTAATACATTATCTAAGCAAGTGAGTATTAAGTTCATAAAATTAGAAGTTAAAGATTTAATCTCTCTAATTCTTGTGATTTCTCAAGATTCTGTTGACATACTAGGCAGTATAGCAAATACAGATTTATGTCTGATAATAATATATAGAATTGTGCAACGGTGAGAAGGTTGATGCATGTTAGTCTTTATCAAGTTGTACCATGTTGAATCAAACTTCGTACTCGTACATGTTCTTTAAACGCATGTCACCATTGAATTTAATTTTGAGAATGTAACACATCCATTTTGTGGAAATAACTAACTATTTATGTACTTCAACCAGTCATTGTCTATTTAAAACCGATCATACACATATATGTTTAGGTATTAAGAGAATCCTTACCGGCAAATTTCATCAGATAATTATGAGTATACATAGAGTTGGTAACTGATTAGGTTGTTATGAATTTGATGATTTGATCACTACGAGACGCCCAAAAGATATCAAAAATCAAACGGAGGGGTCTTGTACTACAAAAATACCACTTAAGAAGTATGAACTCGTAGTGAACAACTGGCGAACAACAAAGATTAGGAATAAATCAAGCCTAAATTAATCGTCTGTTCTTTCCTATGATTCATCGAAATAAAATTTCCATAAAAAAGGTTCAGTAGTTACCATCTTTCTATTGCTCTATCCGGAAAGTTTTATCAAATTTTTGCGAACTTTCGTCACTACCCGGCATGTAAGAGAAACTCTGGTACCAGTCCTGTTGATGACAGTGTCGCCTCCAGTTTCTCCATCAACCTTCAGACCATTAGTAACATTTACAGCCTGGTCGAACAGGAAAACAAATAATCGATATGAGAATAATATAAAGTATAAACTCTAGATTCAACTAAGTGAATCTTGTCGTAATTCCCAGTACTAACAAAGTGCTCCGAACATGTTTGGTGTACTTGTTTCATAACTTACCTCATCACATCGTTGACTCGCGCAATCTTTTATACCGTGCAAGTAGTCTGAAAGAAAACATAATATATCAATGCTTGAATAAGTTAAACCGCATAAAGCATACACTTCAACAAGAAGATACAAAATAAAGATCAACCTGAGTACGCCTTATCTTTAAATATGAGTAAGCTGCGAGGCATCAGTGCCAAGGAAAAGGGAAGGTATTTGCTCTCGCACTTGTCAGAACTCATCTCAATATGTGCTGGTTCAGAATTTTTATCTTCAGTGTCGTTTTCTGATGTGCATGTGGCATTTTCAAAACTGGGATGCGGAACAAAGTCCATTACAACAGGCGATCCAAGAGAGAGGATTGCCACAACCGGCACGTATGCAGGTCCGTCCTGATGTGGCTGTTCAGAAAAAGTCAAATTGCAATTAGACGTGGTCAAAGGTATTCACTAGGCAAATTTATTTGCGTGAACTATACTGACGATATATAAATTAGGACCCACCATTATTCCTTGGTCAGGTAAATATTCGTTGATAAGCACATGATTAATAGCTGAGGGAAACAAAGTTGATTCCTCGTATATTCTCTGTGTAACTTTTGTTAGCCAGGGCGGCACTGCAAAACAAAAAAGAACTTGAATCTTTGTATCTGGTATCATTTCAAGGATCCATTAACAAAGGAAAAAACGTAATCACTCAAAGAATCATTTTTCATTACTTTTTTACTTGGCAATTTTGTCCTCACGCATATGACAAGTAACCTAGCCCCACAAAAAGAACCGTATGTAGATCCTTGAAGGAAATATCGTATTGCTTTGTTTCATCAACTAGGTAGTATCATAACGCAATTCTCAATTAGAAACCAACTTCCCTAATGAGTCGAATATTATCTTCCCGGGATAAACGGGAAGCCACATGTAGGTTCCGCAGGTGGTGATAGACAGTGCCATATTCGTTTCATTAATTGATGCTGGCACGGAAGGAAAGATAGTCATAGTGTCATACAGTGAACATACTTATCGGGAGAACTGGGATGGTTACTTTGACAATATTTTAATTACCTATTTGTGTAATGAAGCACCAAATTTAGCAAATTGATGCTGCTGCATTTTCGTATAATCGAAACGAATATTTGAATTTCACTAAATTGAAGATAGAACAAGAGGCCAGAGCAATAAACTATAAACAGAAAGCAGAAATTGGGAAAAAACAGTGAATAACTTTTTAAATTACTCACAATCTTGGGCGAGAAGACCCTTCTCGTGCACAACTCCTCCTGCAAATGATCAAATTATTTCCGACTTACAGTACAGCGTGCCCTAATGCGCGTGTGCGACACAGCGCGTAGTAACCCCTAAGATGATACTTACCCCAATTCTGCAGTCGCCTGTTCTTCAAAGACTTCCACTTGGAAATCGGAGCTCGGTAAATCTGCAAACCGGAGACGAAAGCAACTCAGGAGATACAAAATTTGAAAATATACTACTGTATCTATTTCTTACATTATTCAAGAGGAGTTGTTCTTCAGCAGAGGTGACGTATTCTGGAATGTAAAAGACTGTTGGCACGGAGCCTACGATATACTTGTTTAACGCTGTGAGATTTTCTTCCGCCATTGGAGCACAAAATCAAGCTAGGTTTTTAATTGTATTCCAGAATTTTCAAATTGTGTTGAAGGTGATGATCCAAACAGGCACCGGCTTTATGAATTTGAGGAGCCCGCAAATTATCAAATTATCGATACTACAGGGACCGTAAAGTTATTTAAGCATACTTCAGGGGTATGGGTGTAATTTACCCTAATAATAATAAATTAATATTAACCGTTGTGAAATTGGTGGCTATAAAAATGCGGAGGATAAGATTCTTCTTCTTCCGTGTTTCGTTTTACTATATTTGGAATATACTCCTGCGCTAGTCTGTATCACTGTATGTATAGGTTGTGAGGAGTACTATTGCATCTCAGTGAAGGCAAGTGTGTCTCTATTCTGTATCTATAATCTGTATACAGAGAGTGATATGTCGAGCGCCATAGTTAACGGGATGGCCGGCGCCGGCGGAGGTATCATCGCCCAGATAATTACTTACCCTCTCCAAACGGTACCGTTTCATCAATTTTTAATCCCTAGTGCCGATTTCGCTCCTTTGTTTGTTAATTAGCCGTCAAATTCTCCGTCAACTGATGCAGGTGAACACACGGCAGCAAACAGAGAGAGTTGCTAAGGACTCAATTCAATCTCCTGCTGGTAGTACGTTTGTTCACATTTTTCAGGTGGCTCTAATCGATCAAAACCCCCATAGCTTTTTTCATTTATTTATTTTATTTATTTCAGAGTTGAATTTGTTGGTGGATCGTTTAACCGATTGGAGTTTGACAGGTGATTAGAAATGAAGGGTTTGGAGGGCTTTACAGTGGCCTCAAGCCTTCTCTGCTCGGCACCGCCGCTTCTCAGGTGACATTTTCTTCGTCTTCATTCCTTTTAGTGATTATGTATTTGTAATTTTTGCCTTGTACATTGGTATAGCACTCACTTAGAGCTCCATGGGTTCTCGAACCGATTTGATTGACGTGAGTTCAAGACCGATTCTCTTAGGCTTTGTTTGGTTTCAAAAATTAGATTAACTAAGATTATATAATCCTTGTGATAGTCCAATTTTACAATGGACTATGAGGGGTCCAGTGGTACCAACCAAACAAGGGCTTAGGCTTCATTTGGATTTAGGATTTGGAGGTGAGGTTTTCAAACTCGTAACAAATTGATCGGACTTGTTTGTATGAATTCAGTTTTTAACGAACTATGAATCCTTAACGAGCATTGAGTTAATTTTTGAGCCATTGTGGTGGATTTCAAATTCTCCCCTCAAATTTAATATTTTCATCTTAAAGCAACCTTAGATTTCATGGCCATTGGATCGATAAATCCAACTTTGAAATGTAGTTGCGGGAACCTATTTTGTGGATTTTTTCTTCTGCTATAAGCTTGGCATCATCTATAATATGTTAATACTCTCCGTTGTGAAGCTACCAGGGTATCTACTATTCCTTCTACCAGGCTTTCAAAAACAAGGCTGAGGCTATTGCTAGGGAAAATAAAAGAAAAGGAAAAGGTGATGGCTCTCCAGGAATGCTCTCTTGGCTTGTCGTAGCTGCTCTTGCTGGGTATTCTTTCTATTTTACTTGTAAAAAATATGCATGTTTCACGTATAAAGTCGGTGACTACAATTGAACACTTCAAGAGAATATAATGAAGAATGCATTTCATTAACTTCATTATTATTATTATTAATGTATTAACGATTTCAATTCCAAAATTCTATTTATCAAAGCTCTAATTATATTGTAAATAAATACCCTTCTGCTATTGATGTCTGATGGTCGTCAAAATCTATTCTTCTGAATTATATGGAAAAAGTAAGAAAGTCTTTTAGCTACTCATTTATTTATAATAGTAGATATTTGGTTGCAATGTGTTGCCATTGCATGGTCCCGTAATTTTTTGACTCTTATCTGAATGTAAATTCTTGCTGCAGGTCAGTAAATGTACTGCTGACGAACCCTATATGGGTTCTTGTGACTCGTATGCAGGTAGTACTCTTCTGCTTATCTGCAAGAAACATTGTTGATGCAGTAGAAGAATTTTCAAGAATTAATTTCCATTTTCTGTAGGTTGATTTTTCGTTGGTTATAAAAACTCCAACATATATTGCTCACAATGTAAGAAAAACAACGAGTAGTGGACTGCTGAATTAGAGTGCCAATATCTCCTGGAAACAATAAGTTGTATTAATATCCAATTGCAACGGGTATGCAAAACGCTTATATGGCAGAACATGAAAACTCTACATTCAAACTGCGTCGACTATTCAGAAGTTACATTTACCCCCTTATAGTGGGTACTTATGGTTGAGCCGGAAGGCCATTATATCGGCAAATATTGGTAAAAGGAGACTACTTCAAAGGAGTACATTTTTGGAAAACTAAGTGGCTTTTATGCGGTAAAATTCCGTGTGAGAGGACTGTTAGGGTGGAAAAAAGGCAATGTTATGTTAGCGATATTGATTTTAATTTTCCAAGCTTGGGGGTTATCTGCAATGTGGCTTGAGATCAACCATGTAGTGTATTCGAACCTTTATTTTATTAAACATCTGCCTATAATCACAAGCTATTTATAGCAAGCTGAGAAACGTGATTATATAACTGAACACTCTCTGATTTCTATCAAGCAAAGGAATTTCTTTTTACTTCTTTCTTTCTTGCAGTAATGGAAATATTTGTCAATACAAATTGACCATAATGTGCTAATACCATGTACTTAGATAGTCTTAAATGATATAATGAATTATGAGTTTTTGTTGCCTTGACATTTATTGTAATTTTCAGACTCATACTCAAGCAGAAAAAAAGATAACGGAGGCAAAAAGGGAAGCTCTATTGAAGGCAGCTTCAGAAAATGTCTTGTCACAATCTCTTTTGTCGGATCAATTGGCTGCACTTGATTCGATGAAGCCACGTCCCTATGGAACGTTTCAAGCGGTGAACATTACTAACCTTATTTTTCTTTGTTCATTGCTATAATATATTTGTACAGAGTTCGTGTTTCTTCTTTTTTCTCTGTCAATGTCACTTGAATATAACTGAGTCATTTATGTTAGGATATAATTTCTTGATTATGAAGCTAAGCACCCGTAGTGTCTTAAATAATCGGAAAAGTACCTATAGAAATCCCACTAGATACTACTTTTCGTATCATTATATATCTTAAGATTTTGCCGTCTCTGTTAATGAAACCTCTATTTGGATATATTTAGTAGGCATGCGAGGTTTATAATGAATCTGGAGTTGCTGGATTCTGGAAAGGCATCATTCCGACACTAATAATGGTATTCCTACATTTTATTTTATTTTTAAGAAAATCAACTTTTACACGGTCGGTAAATTCCTGGTAATATTGTTTCAATTTTGTGCATGCTAGGTGTGCAATCCGTCAATTCAGTTCATGATTTACGAGAGTTTGTTGAAGCGTCTGCGGTCCAAGCGATCTGCTAACAAACAAGGTTCAGTGAATGTGACAGCTTTGGAGGTATATCTGCTGAGGTGGCATGCAATTTATCCTAGTTGTGGAACCTATTTCCTTTTTCTTTACCACTTCATGTTTTTGTACCTTGGTTAAAAAGAAGTTGCATTCATTTCCTGACCAGAGAATACACTCTTAAAATTATTACTCTACCTTCATGTGAACAGTTTTTCTTAGTCGGGGCGGTGGCAAAACTTGGAGCAACCGTTTGTACATACCCTCTGCTGGTTGTTAAGGTAAAGTCATTGATTTTTTGTTGTCTGTGAAACTATTCTTTAATCATTAGCAGTTTGCTAGCTTTTTATTCTGGCATGCAAATAGTGTGATATCTATGGCTGTTGAAGTGACTGGAATATTCACTTAGGAATTACTGACAGAACTGTATTCAAGTTTTTTTCTTTAGTTACTATTTTTATTATTATTGTTGTTATTTATTTGGCATGTAGATCTGTAATTATTGTGTACTTCATCTAGTGACATTCAATCGATATGTAATACCAGAGATAACTGAACTTTACAAAAACGATCCAACTGAAAGTGGAGTGATGATATTTGTGAAAACGATATGAAATATCACTAGATAGCTGCGTTGGACGAATAAAATTTACTTTAAATAAAATATATGGTATTTATGTGTTATGATGTTGCATATGATTACAGCAACATAATATTCCTCCTTGTTTAACCTTTTTCCTGTCAATAAACGTTGAGTGTGGTTATTTATGCAGTCGAGACTTCAAGCAAAGCAGGAGATTGGTGGAAATATCTCACTACGATATTCAGGTTTGTAGATATATTTGCCGACAATATGTATGGTAACATCTTTTGGTCTAGATCATTCTTTTGCATTATTAACAAACGTGTCCTTTATGTAGTTTGTATACACCGAAACATTATTAATCGTGTTTAAGAAACATAAAAGTTTCCACAGTTGGTGTTTAAAATTGTTGATTAGGTTTGTGATAGCACAGGCACACTGGATGCCATCGTTAAGATGATCCGATATGAAGGACTGAGAAGCTTCTACAAAGGGATGAGCACAAAGATTGTACAGAGTGTTTTCGCTGCATCTGTACTTTTCATGGTGAAGGAGGAGCTTGTCAAGACTTACGCTCTACTCTCGAATAAAAGACCGAAAAATATTCTCAAGACTCTTAAATGAAGATCTATGCTTAAATTCACATACAAGGTCATTCTCAACTTTTTTATTCTTTTGTCGTTAAATTTCGATGATTTTGAGCAATTTCTTGTTCTGTTATCTTATCTGGTTGAACTCTACAGGTGAGATATTTCCTAGGTTGTTGCCACTTATCCAGGCCTGGTTTAATGGAAATAGGAATTCGAAACATTGTGGAGGAGGTCAGCATGTAATAAATAACTTACACTGCCTTATCAGATATATCTCGAACACGAGACTTGCAAACAGATATGGAACTCAGGCAATACGGGACTTTTAGTAATAGATATCTCGTGTCGAGACCCTGTTATTGGCAATTAAAATTGTTTGAATATTGTTACAATTTTAAGTGTATGTTTCGTAATTGAACCGTGGGAGCAGAAGTTTGTAATAAGTATGTATGAAAACTCCAAGTCGGAACTAAACGCTTGGCCCGGATGTTAACTGTGCGAATGGATTCGGATTAGGGTTCTGTTTATTCTCTGAAATTTTAACAGTGCCATTATGAATATTTAAAGTTGTGATAATAATATAAACATGACTAAGATATCAAATAAATACAAAATTAACTTATTAAATATATTTCCCTACATTGGTCAACATTTATTTATATGTTTCGACGCAACAACAAAAATGTAGTAAAACAAATTTAGTGCCAGAATAATGTCACAGTATACTTCTTTCGTATTCACTTTCCAAATCGATAGTAAATGTATCAGAGAAGACGTGTGGTAAAATAAAATAAAAAACCACTTACATGAGAATATATATTAGATAAAAAGTTAGAAACTTGGAGAAGAAACTGCGGGCGGCTCCCGGAGAACTTGCTGCAGTAAGCGGGCAGCAAGACGTTGAGTAATTCCACCGACCACACGTCCGCCCAGAACTCGTGCTTCAGGTTCTTGCAGTACCTGCTTACTTATAAAGTTAGTACATTTCAATAATTGCATATTTTAAAAAAATAAAAAAAAATCATCTTCTTTACGTCATTCTACATCGGTGAAAAATGACTCACTGATACTACATGAATGGATCATGCGAAGAAGCGGAATAACTAGACATATTCTTACCTGCAGTATAGGCAGAAAAATACTAGGATCGAAGCTCTCCGAGGACCGTAGAAGTTCCCATATTCTTAATACTTGTGCCCTAAGCTCCAACATGCTTTCCCGTTCAGCAGTGTTCATTACTAACGGACCAGGTGCATTGACATCTGGGATGAATGTCCGTAAAAAACCAGGAATTAAGTTGTACGATTCAACCACCGAGCCCAGGATAATAGCTTCAGTTATGCAGACAGCTTCTTTAATTACTAAAGCCCTCAAGTCTTCACCGTCTGGACCCAACAATAGTTTCAGGACAGGTTGTAAGGCATCTTTTGCATTGAAGTCCCTGTCTTGTTTTCCCTGGACTAGCAAGTTTTCAAGTCTATTCCACCTGTATAAAATGATTTATCGAAGCTTCTAAATTCAGTCAATTGCTCAGGAGAAACAAATCGTCAAAGCCAACAGTAACGAAATAATTCAGTTTGTCACATGCCTGAATCTGCCATCCTTGAAAAGCAGCTCGATGAGAGCGTCTCTTAGATATGGATTAGGATCAGTAAGAAGCCTTTTAGCGAAATATGGATATGATGCAGCCAGAACCTTGAAGTTAGGGTCGGCGTACAGAGCTAAACCTTCTAGAACAGTGAGAGACCTTAAAATCAAGGCATAGTATGCAGGCACTGCAAGAATTAAGTAACAAACATTAGACACAATGTCGAAGGAAATTTAATTCACATAACCTACTAAAAGATTAACTAATTGCATAAGTATAAAGAATTGCCAAGGCTGCCACAGACTTGACTCACATAAATACAGCAGAAACAGGCAAAATCGACGATGGGTACTAAAAGAACATGAAACTGAGGCAGTCTCCTATTTTACATAAAAAAGCTGCTTTAATAATTTTCACTAGGATGACCTATGTTGCCAATGTAAAGATATTGGTAATATCAGACTAAGGCAATCAAAAGTAGGCTTCAAACAGCTGCAAAGCTCAAACAACTACAAAAGAATATAGTGTAACATGAAACCAATCTCATTCTTCAGTTTATCCCGTCCGAATTATGAACCTATTGATGCCATGATTTCCCTCCAAAAGCCTAAACTTAGACACCCGTTTGACTCTTATCAGGAATCTAACCAAACAAATTGATCTTAGTCAATTTTCTACTAGCTATTGTCTTCAGGGACTTGGCACTGCAATTATTTGCTACCCTCATAACTCAACAACTATAAAATGTTTAACAATTAGAACAGTCTTAATTTATATAATCTTAATCTCGGGCAATGCTGACCAAGAAAGCTGCTTCTGCATCGTAATGGCCCCATTTTTTGACTCAGGTTTCCTATTTCTAACCTTCTTGCAGTATTTTATTTACGAGGTTCCCAGTCAAATATCACAAAAATATTGCCAGCAGTAGATATTTTCAAACAAACTAGTCCTCTCAAGTGCTTTCAGCATAAATGATGTTAAAGGAAAATAGGTGCTTACCATTAAATGGATATTCGTACAAAACCGCACCCAAACCATCCACAATAGTTTTAAAGTTGAGCTCACTCACGGTCGAACTCAGTGCATTATCAAAGAAGCCCCTAAGAGCTGGCACTATGGGAGTTACATCTACATCAGGAGACAAAAAGTCCAAAGCATAGTAATCACGGGCCATGGCTTCATAGTCCCGATTAACCATATGTACAACATGACCAATTATCGCAGATCTCGCTTGTTCAGGAGTTTCACTCATCATTCCAAAATCAAGAAAAGCAAGCTTTCCATCAGGTGTTGCTAATAGATTCCCTGGATGAGGATCTGCATGGAAATACCCATACTCAAGGAGCTGCCTAAGACTGCACTGTATGCCAGTATTCACCAGCTCCAAAAGATTGAGCCCTTGCCTTTCAATGGCCTCTTGCTCGTTTAATTTAACACCTTCAACCCATTCCATAGTTAGCACTTTTCCACTCGTGTAGTCCCAGAAAATATCTGGGACAAGGACATCTTCTTTGTCTGCATACAATTTTTTAAATCTCCTTGCATTCTTCCCTTCCTGCATAGACCTGTCAAACTTATCATTCAAAACTACTAGATTTCTAGTTCACACGACGCAATGCAGAATAATGTAGAAAGCTAACCTGGACATAATTGAGCTCCTGATAAACTCTTCGAGCGAATTCATCAACAAGAGCAACAACATCACTCGAGATGAAGTCGACGTATTTATTTATGAGAAAACCTAAACCTCTTATTAGGTAAAAATCCAGCCCGATAGCTTCTTCGATACCAGGTCTTTGCACCTTCACAGCAACAATCTGCCCAGAGTACTTCAACTGCGCTTTGTAAACTTGACCTAGACTGGCAGCAGCGATAGGAGACGAAGATATTGATGAGTAAACAGAGTCGAGTGAATATCCCAACTCTTTCTCAATACATGCAAATGCTTCTGCATCCGGAAACGTTGGCAAAGCATCCTAATCCAACAATAAAATTAAAGAACATTAATTGTAATATTTAATCGCAACCGAAGAATATAAGTAGACGACTGAAATAGGAGGTATCCATCAAGTATCACATAACCATACATGCACACCAACAAATATCAAACTGATAATTGTTCTAGCAGTGACCACAAAAATTCGGAACCAGTGTGTGTGTGTGTGTGTGTGTGTGTGTGTGTGTGTGTGTGTGTGTGTGTGTGTGTGTGTGTGTGTGTGTTTTCATATTCAATTTCCTCTATCCAATTAATTAAATCCACCAGACGAACCTGCAACACAGAAAGTTCATCAAGGTATAGGGGTGGGCATAAATCAGGCCTGGTTGACAAACCCTGGCCAATTTTGACAAAAGTAGGCCCCAATCTAGTGAACGTCTTCCTCAATTGAATTGCCCTAAGTCTCTGGTTCTGATCGATCTGGCCTTTGACTTGGTCGAGCCACAAATTGATTGCAAACGAGCCAAGTCCGGCGAGTATCTCGAACGCTCTCCGCACCACCTTGATTGGCCGCGAACCGTATTTAGTGACCAGAAGTTCAGGTGTGTACACGGAAGCATCGGCGGCGCGGGTCATCGCCGTGGCTTCTGCTTGCATATCATCAGCCCGGTCTCTAAGAGCCGACGCGGAGGACAATTCCCTAACTCGCAACACAGGTACACCGGAGCTGCCGTCATCACCGCCGCCGCCGCCGCCTCTGAGTGATGGAACGGGTATCGGCTTCGCCTCCACCAGCGCCGCGCGAGGAGGAGGTAGCTTCCACCTCCGCCTCCCCTGGCCGGAACTCGCCGCGCAAAGGCAGCAAGGTACTGAAACTACGGCGGTACTCATCGGCGACTGATTTTTTCCCAAACTGTGGAAAAAAAAATGTCAGATTTTATTTAGGAAATTAAAATAAATGAATTTTTGTTCTCAGTTAGTTGACAGCCATTGATTATTTATATATATATATATATATATTTAGAAAGTAATTAATTTATAATTTTAAATTTATTAAATGTTTCTGGTTGAAAATAGAGTGACCTTACGTAGAGCGTAACGTGTTCAAACGGACCACGCAGGTATTCCACGTGGTCCTATCCGAACCCCCCAAAATTGGTCAAACAAATTATCGTGATACAAAATTTCTTCGTACCTTGGTATATTAAACATTAAATTACCAACAGCAAAATTGAGCTAAATTACCCCTAAATCAAAAGAGGGTAAATTACACCTACACCCCTAAAATATGCTAAAATAACTTTAAGGTCCCTATAATATCGGTAATTACAATCAACCCTGAAATATTGTTAGAAACTCTAACGAAATAATGCATTGGATAAATTATACCGTTAGAATTCCAACGGACTATTAGGCTCCATTTGATAGAATTAAGCGATGAATGCTGAATGCTGAATACATAACTGAATAGATAAGATCAGTGTCTGAATGCTTCATGCTGAACGTTTAAGCTTGTTTGATAACTAAAAACCTATTGTATCTGAATAATATGTAATTTTCATTACTAGCCCCATATTGTTGAATATATATTTATTCATAAACAAAATTATGAATAATATATAAATAAAATTCAGTGGCCATTGCAATTATTAATATTATATATTTTTATTTATAAAAACAAATATTGTAAATGAAATTATATTTATAAATGTTCAATTTTTAACATAATTCTAATTTCTCACCGAAAAATCATCTTTTTAATTATAAAATAATAAAATAATTTAATAAAAAAAAAAATATAGCTCACTTTTCGAAACCTCTGGCAACCATAAAGTTCTCCACCGCCTCCTTATCTCTCTCTTCAACCTTCTGTGACTATTTTTTGTATATATAAATAATATGTACTGTGAAAAAATTAGGGAAATTAGTTCAATTGCCTCGTTGAATCTCATTTCTCATGAGTGATTTATTTTGGTGAAAATTTCTTGAATAAAGACAGAGGAGTTTGTTGAACAGGAACATGACTGTGAAGACAGAGGAGTTTGTTGAAAAGAGTCAAAAAACTTGTGGGATAATTTTGTCTAAATTCCATTCGGTCAATCTCTGAACGAATAAGTATTAATTTATTGACTGAATCGGTAAGCAATATTTCATTCAGTTCAGAGCTCCCTACCAAACATGTTGAATTGGTTATCTCTGACCGAATAAGTGTTTATTGTGTATTAAGAGGTCGTTCAGAGCCTATCAAACGGGCCCTTAGTTTTAGACAGTATTGAAGACTATAGAGCTAGTGGGTGACATACTCTCCTTATATTTCTTCAATTCTTATTATTTTATTAAACAATTATATATATTTTAATATAGTGCAAACCGGGGTGTGGGTGTAACTATTAATACCAGATGGACTTTAAAGTTATTTAGCATACCTCATGGGATGTAGATGTAATTTACCCATCAAAAGAAAAGAAATACAAATTTTATGCATAAAGGGGGCTTGCTATTATCAGTGCGGTTTTTTCCAGCTACAGTGCGAAATAATTCATTTGTCAAAAAACACTTTAACCTTTTACAAAATCCTCTCAACATCCAAATATTTCGACTTTCGTAGATCGTGATTTGTTTTCGTAGAAATCAGTTAAAACCCAACGATTATCAAGATGGCCAACATCGATCCCGTAAATGAGGTAAAAAAATACGTTTTAGTGTGATTTTTTTCGATTTTCAGTCGTTTCGTGTAGAATATCACGAAATTATTCAAGTCATTTCGTGTTGTTTTGCACGAAATGAACACTTTATTCGTGTTTTCCAGTCATTTCGTGTACAATACTACGAAATTATACCTATTATTTCGTGTAAAGTCACACGAAATAGCAGTAAAACTGTTTTGTTATTCATTTCGTGCAGTACTATACTAAATGTATGAATACATTTCGTGTAAAATTACACGAAATGTATGCATATACTTCGTGTGATTTTACACGAAATACCTAGTATTGTTATTAATTTTTTTTGTGCAAGTATCTAACCTTTTTTTTGTATTTACGCAGCCATATGACGACAATTTGTATTTTGATCCCTCGGTTTTGGATAAAAAGGAATATGAAGATTTCTCTCACTTCTTCCAAGTTGATATTGTGTTCGGCAGTAGGGAAGAATTAATCAACTGGGCGAAAGAAACTGCAGTTAGTCATTGTCACCGTTTGATTTGTCAGTCTAGAAGGGAGAATGCACAGTACATGACGTGTGACAAATACGGACATGGCCGACAAATGAATATCGATGTGGAAGATCCTAGAAACTCAGGAACAAAAAAATGTGGTTGTCCGTTCAAATTGATTGGCAAAAGGTCAAGGTTTGATGAATTATGGCGGTTGACTGTCAGCGATGGCAGGCATAGTCATCGTCCGACTTTGTTTCCTCACGGACAAGGTACGACTAGTCGTATAACTCCGCAACAGAAAGCAAGAATTAAAGAATTGCGAAATTCTCACGTGAAGCCAATGCTGATCATGGATAGACTGAGAAAAGATGATCCGACGATACAAACCTCTATGAAGCATGTTTACAATGAGTTGGCCAAGATTAAATCTGAGGAAATGGAGGGCATGACTGTTATTCAGTTTATGATGCATAACTTTCAAAAAGGCGAGTATCGATATTGGCATCGCGTCGATAGTGAAACGAGCAACACGATTACAGATATTATGTTTGCATGTCCCGAATCTATTCAGTTATTACGGTTGTTCCCGTATGTTATATTGATGGACTGCACATACAAAACCAATAAGTAAGTAAAAATTACGATTGTTCAAATTATGATTATTGTGTTTTAATGTCTTGTATTGTTTAAATATGTAAAAACAACATTGTTGTAGATATGGAATGCCTCTTTTGGAAATAATTGGGATAACTCCAGTTGGGAGGAATTATACAATTGCTGTTGCATTTATGTCGCATGAAGATGCAGACACCTACGAGTGGACTTTGAATTGTTTGAAAGAGTTGCTAGATGGTGTCGAACCTGATGCGATCTTGACAGACAGAGAGTTGGGTCTTTTGAAAGCACTGCCAAATGTCTTCCCATTTTCGTATCATATGTTGTGTATATTCCATATAAACAGAAATGTTGAGGCAAATGCGACGAAATTTATGGGAGGCAACAAGGACCAAGGTCTAATATTCCGACGTGTGCTGTGGGCTAAGCTGGTGAAATCAGAAACCGAAGAAGAGTATCATTACAATTACAATGAAATTGTTGGACGGTATGCAGGGTATCCTAGGCTGATACAGTATTTGAATGATACGTGGTTGATATACAAGGAAAAGTTTGTTCGTGCCTATACTCGCAATGTGTATCATTTTGGCAACACGAGCACCAACAGGTATTACATGTTTTAGTTATTTAAATGATAAAAGATATTATATAAAAATAATATTTATTTTGTAATTTGATTGTCGTTGTATGCTCTGATTGTTGTTGTAATTGGATAGGGTGGAGAGCGCTCATTCTTCAGCGAAGGGTTGGTTAAATGCTTCGACCGGAGGTCTGGATAACGTGCAAGGCAAACTTCGGGACCAAGTTTATATCCAAATTAGTGAGCTGAAGTGCGATTTTTCATTATCATCCAAGATAAGGAAGCATACTGCAGCATGGCCGTGTTTTCAGGGTTTGATTTGTTATGTTACGCATCTGGCATTAGAGAAATTGGATGAAGAGATGGAGTCCCCGGCGATGCAAGATCCGAGTATTTGCACACACTATCTTTGGAATACTCATGGGCTCCCATGCGCGTGCAAAATTGTGCAGAAAATGGAAGATAATGACACGTTCGTCATTTTAGACTTGCATCCATTCTGGAGTACCATGGCAGTTGAGCCTTCGGAGCTACCTGAGTATCAAGTAAACCGCGAGGAGATTGTGGATAGACAGATTGATGACCTGAATTGCAATTTGAAGAAGATGAATTACACGAGTAAGATAAATGCCGTGGCCTCATTGCGTGGCATCGTTTATCCGTCTACGTCGCATCTGTCCGAGCCATCATTTGTTAAGACCAAAGGACGACCAAAGAATAACTCGACAAAGAGAGACCCTTCTGGATGGCAGTATCATATTGATGAGGAGACAATTAAGTCGTCGTGTGGTTCCAAGGGTCGCCAAACCTCATCTGGTGCAAAGATTCCTAAAACAAAGGTTGAGAGAAGCACTGATGGAACGCCTCAATCGAAGATGAAAGGTCGTGGTTCTCGTATTCCCACACAAGAATCTGCTGCCCCTACAATACCTGCACATGAAGGAATCGACTTTTATTCTTTCGTGCCCAGATTTATGGTCCGTCTTATTCAAGATTATGTTAACGTGATGGCGGATGGCAACTGTGGGTACCGGTGCGTTGCTCAAGCCGTGTACGGGGATCAAGAAAGATGGCCGCAAGTGAGAGGGGAGTTGCTTATTGAGTTATACGAGCATGCTAGTGTCTACACGGCGATGTTTGGCAGTACCGGATACGTTGAGGTCATACGCAAGTGTGACTGGACCTCAGGGCCTTGTCCACAAGCTTATTGGATGGACATGAATGAAATGGGATTGGCCATTGCTACCAGATACAGTGCATTAGTGGTACTTTTGACTCAAGTAGGGAGTATGACTTACCTTCCTATGTTTGGCAGTGGTCACTTATCATGTATGATTGTTGTGACATTGCACAACAATCATTTCATGTTTGTTAATTTGGTCGCAAATAGTCCACTACCACCAATCCATCCGGCATGGGTACACCATAGAGCTAAAAACTTGAGGCACTTACTCAAAACGTACAAACCCCGACTACTCTTGTACGAACAATTAAAGTCTGGTCGGTAGTTCAATTTGTAGTTGTATCTGAAATCTAGTTCAATTTTATTCGTATTTGAAATTTAGATCAATTTGTAGTTGTATTTGAATTCTAGTTCAATTTGTAGTTGTATTTGAATTCTAGTTCAATTTTTAGTTGCATTTGAATTCTAGTTCAATTTGTATTTGTATTTGAATTTTTAGTTATTTCGTACTGAATTTACCGAAATGTCACTTCATATTTCGTGGAAAAATCTACGAAATATGGTCTTCCATTTCGTAGAAAATTCCACGAAATATGGCCTTCCATTTCGTAGAAAACTCCACGAAATATGTTCTTCCATTTCGTGTACGTTTACACGAAATACACGATTTTTTTTAATCTAACAGTTTCGTCCTTCGTGTTCTATAACAATAAACACCGCTATTTCGTGTGAAAAGACACGAAATTATTGAGTGTATTTCGTGTAATAATACACGAAATAGCGGGCGAATTTGGTTTTTTTTTAGGAAAGTTACAAATGAAATAAATCGCACTGCAAGCCGGTAAAAACCGCACTATGAATAGCATTTCAGATAAAGGTAAGGGTAAATTCCACTTTACCCCCTTGTACTTTTGAATATCACTTTATCCCCTTGTACTCTCAATTGCATCGATTTGCCACCCTGTACTTTGGTTCGATACCACTTTACTCCCTTCTACTCTCATTCATCGATTTGCCCCCTTGTACTTTGGCTCGATATCACTTTACCCCCTTCTACTCTCAATTGCATCGATTTGCCCCCCCTTACTTGAAAAATTGTCTTAATGTGGCCCTCGCCGTTAGTTTTCAAACCTTTGAACTTAACACCGTTTGATTAAAGTATGAAAATTACTAAAATGTCACCCCTTCAGTTTAAACAATTTTTGAAAAAAGTAAAAACATCAACAAGAAGAATAAAATTAGTAAAAAATTCAAGAGAGCGAGAAAACATAGTCCACGACGCCAGCCACAATTTCTTTTATTAATAATTATTTAAACTGGGAGGGTTGGCTTTTTTGTAATTTTCAAACTTAGATCAAACGGTGGTAATGTTAAAGGTCTGAAAACTAACGGCGAGGGCCACATTGAAATATTTTTTCAAGTACATGGGGCAAATCGATGCAATTGAGAGTAGAAAGGGGTAAACTGGTATCGAGCCAAAGTACAAGAGGGCAAATCGATATAATTGAGAGTATAAGGGGGTAAGGTAATATTCAGCCAAAGTACAAGGGGTAAAGTGAAATTTACCCTAAAAGTAATTAGAGCAACCCTAAATAACCCTAATAATATTTTTTATAATTTTGTATTTATGTTTTGCTCTTCTAATTATCTAATTATTTTTCTTATCTCAATGGAACGATTTTCCACTTTCTTTGGTAATGTCATCTTTATAATTATTTTGTTGATTAACTTTTAATTTATAACTTGCTTCGTTTTTTTATAAAATCAATTTCAGCAATTAAGTTTATATAATCTTTTGTGGAGTAAATTAGTGTAATAAGTTGTGTATGAATGTTGATGTTGTTACTGTAATTTATTATCGCTATTAAATTTTATTATAATAGTATAATATATTTTTTATTATAATTTTTACCGTCATATAATAAATTATTCATTTATTTTTAAAATGCTATTTCGTGCATCACACGAGGAAAATACTAGTTACTCTTTAAAGTATCTCGATTACAAAACACACCTACTTTATTTGTAAAATAAAAATTACATTGAACTCATTTAAACTAACTTTAATTCAAACTTTTCATAGAAATCATGAAATATCTAAAATAACTATAAAAATAAATAAATTTACCAAAACATTTGATTACTAAATCACATGGTGATTTAATAACTATCCTAGCCCAGAATTGGTCAAACAAGTAACATGATGCAAATTTTCTTCGTACCTGATCTACTTTCTATTCTATATTTGTTATAAATAATAAAAAATACAAATAAAATTCGGCAATAGTTAGGTATAGTTTGGTCACAATATACAAATATAGGATAACTTACAACCACCTTTCAAACGTAAAAACTATTTACGATAAAACTGTTCATATTTAAAATTACATTTAATCTCTTATAATTTGTAAATTTCTTACATCTAGCTCCCTATAAAATGATGTTAATGTAAGAAATCTGAAAATTGTGGGAATTGATGTAATTGTAAAAAAATAGGGGGTTTTCGTAAACAAATCTTACCTCAGGAGACGATTGTAATTTACCCTATAAATTTAATAGTCCGTTGGAACTCTAACGGAATAATTTATCCAATGTATTATCCCCTTGAGTTTCTAACAAAGTTCCAGGTGGTGACTGTAATTACTGGTATTATAGGGACCTTAAAGTTAATTTAGCATACATCATGGATGTAAATATAATTTACCCTAAAATTAATGAAATTGGACCATTAATTTAAGTATACATGGATTGGGCTTTGGATCAATTAATGGATCAATTTAAAAATATTAGTAGGTATATTCGGTTGGCCCAGTTACATATATCACAAGAGTTTGTGGTCTATTGTATTTGACAATTTGTCATTAACATTCTTCTCCATCATTTTTAATGAATAATATGTTCCTTTTTATTTCATTTTATAATTCACATTAGTTCAAATATAATTAGGAAAATATTAAAATTAAACTTTTATACTAAATATAAAAATTATTATTTTTGTAAAACACAAAACGCTTTCATTTTTAGTTTTTACTAAATGCTCAAAGCTCATATATAAACTAGCCTCATTACTATAAGTTCAAACTTGTCTTATATATTTTTCCGGGCTTCGGGTGTATATCGAGCTTGTACCAAACAATATATAACATTACATACTTTTCAATTTTGGAGCCGAGCGTTTAAAAAAAAAAATCAAGAAAGATTATAGAACTATTGCTCATAAAATATTTACATAATTGACATTCAATCAGTAATTACAAAAGTGCCACTCAACAGTAATAACGAAACTGTCATTCAACAAATAACTACAAAACTGTCATTCAACAGATAATTATAGAATTGCTAATTACCAAGTAATTACATTATTACCACTGACATCAATTAGAGAACTACCCCGTACCAAGTGATTACAAAATTCACACTCAACAAACAATTACAGAAAATGCCTCTCAACATCTAAATTAAAGAACTGCCACTCAACATTGTAATTATTGAACTGCCACTCAACAAATAATTACATAAATGTCATTCAAATTTAATTACACTAAGTGTCATTCACCAAGTATGTACATAACTGCCACTCAGCAACAATTACGAAACTGTCATTCAACAAATAATTATAGAACTGTAATTTCACAATTACTACAAAACTGTCACGCACCGTATAAAATTCCAACCCCTAATCCAAACGGTAATAAAACTATCTCTAATAAGATAACACTATAGAAAACTTCATCAAGTTGTAGAATATAAATAAATCCAAAAATTTTGGCCTTTTCTTGTAGCTTTTTGGGATTCACCCCTCCACTACAATTTTGTGTTTTATTCCTATTGCATAAAAAGCAAAATATTTATCCCAAATTCTCACAATTCAAAAGAGATTGAAGAGGGAACAAAGAACAATCTTTTCCTTTTCTTGATTTTTTCATCATTTCCTTCTCTCTCTCCCCTCTCTCTCTCTCTCTACTCTTCCCTTCACGGAATCTCTAGGCATGAGGTAAAAAAAAAAAAAAAAGGGGCCCCACTTGCCGCCATTGTTAACCCCCTTCAATATTCTCAGTCAAACTCAAACGCTTTGTTTTTGGGGTTTTAACTTTTGATTTACTAATGCATTATTATTATTATGGAAGAAATAAATATCCGTTTCTCGTTGACTTTTGAAGATCTTAAATTTGTATTCAATAATCTCCCCCATTCACACAGTATTTTTTATATAACAACTCAGCCCACAAGATTTATTTATTTGTAGAAATTGTTTTTTGGGTTCATTCATAATCTTACTTAGCTATTTTATGTTCCAATAATTAAAGATTCTCTTTTTTTATATATATATATAATAAATATAGATAGATACATTGAAGAAAGCTTTTGTTTTTGCTTTTTTGGGATTCAAAGAATCAAAAGGTTGCGTTCAGAATTTGTATATTTGTTTGGATATTGCTCTCTGCTTTATTGAAAAATAAATAAAAAAATATTCTTGATTTGTTCTTGAGTGCCCTTTGCTTTTCCACCTGCTCTGGAGATTATTCAGGTCAGTGTTAATCCAAAATAAGTTACACATTTACGTTTTGTTTCGAATTTTCGATACATAAAATCGAGATGTGATCGATATTTTCTTTTTAGAACAGCTTATTCTGTGTTTGTTTGAATTTTCGAAGCATTTGGTCTCTTAGTTATGATTGCTTTGTGGGGGTTAATATTCGAACTATACTCGTTGTTTATTCGATTCTTATGAGTTTTTTGTATGGAGTAATGAATATATCGATTTTGGGTTGCTACATTCAGCTACCGTTTTTCTAGAAAAATCGAAAATTGCAATACGATTTACAAGCTCAAGATTGCAATTTGCTTCTTGTTCGTCTGATTTTCGGTTGCAAGATTCAGCTACTTATTTTCTAGAAAATTCTAAAAATGCAATACGAATTTACAAGGTCAAAGATTGCACTTTTGCTTCTTGTTCGTCTGATTTATTACGAAGGATTCGAAAACATGTTCATCAAATGCTCGTGGATAAGTATTCTATAAAAAAGCTCGTTTCTTTCTCTCTTTCTTCCTTGCTGCTTTATTTGATACTTTGCTTAATCGCTTCAGGGTAAAAGGCTTGGTTCGTTGTGCATAGATTGAAGTTCGACTAATGGGCTGGCTTAGTAAAATTTTCAAAGTTTCAAATCGTAAAGTTTCGGATGGGCGATATGGTTGTAGACATGAGACAGATACCTTGGCCAATCGTCAATCTACTTCATCCGTAAGTATTTTTTTGTCCGTTTTTTTTTTTCTTAATCGGATTATCTAACCATTCGTAAAGGGCATTATAGCTTTTTTCGTTTTCTGTAGATTAATTCCAATATTTTCTTTTTTCCCATTTGGAAGCTTTGCTTGAATTTCTTGAAAATGAATTCATTAGCTAACGGACTTAATTCTATTACTATATTATTTCTCGAGAGTTCAACCCCGTGTTTCGGTAACCGTCGGTTTAAATATCTTCGACATTTTACATCAAGTTCAAGAATGGAGAAACAGAGTTGCCTTGTGAGTAAACCATCGTTGATTTCAGTATTCAACGAGATCGTAAATCGGCACATTTGTTTAGCAAGAAACTACTATTAACTTCCGATGATTTTTTTATAAATAAATACGAACGTCCTATCAGAATACATACGCTCGTCTAGAACCCCTCGTTCTTCAAATTACCTGTATTTTTGTGTTTTATCTATTGTTATATTTTAATGGTCGATAAACTTTCTAATTCTATTTTATGTGAATATTCCTTTTTTTTTCTCTCTCCGATAAAAGCTTATAATTTGTGTACACTGGTTTAGAATTCATGGTTGGAGACGGAACGTATAGACGATCCAATTGCGTTATCTCATTCAGAAGATAATCGGAGAGGAAAAGAAGTTTTGATCGGTGCGGTATTCAATATGCTTCATTACTTTCGTTTCTTGCAATACCCGAATTTTTTATTGCGATTTTTTTGGCGAAGAATTTAACTTTGTATGCATACAGAGGAGGAACCGAAATTGGAACAAGACGAACCACTAGATAGTGTTCGTCACGAGAGTTTGAATCCCGACCCTCGACCGGATTCATGGAGTCGAAACGACAGCTGTACTAGTAGTAGTAATAACGGATATTTATACGGATACGGAAGTTATAGTCTTTACCAACCTATATCTTTCCCCTATTCCACAAACTACAGGTACGTTTTTTTAAAACTCGAGCCAATTAAATGGCGACACGTGTCACTTATACATCGTTTGGTAGGGTTTGCGGTGGTTGCAACACCGAAATTGGCAACGGGAGGTTTTTGAGCTGTATGAATGCTGTTTGGCACCCGGAATGTTTTAGATGCCGCGGATGTAACCAGTCGATATCCGATTACGAGGTTTTAATGATTATTTTATGATTTATGTTTTTTTTCTGTAACTAGTTTTTACGCAATTAGTGAACTAATTTACGGAATCTACAGTTTTCGGTGTCTGGGGGCCACCCCTATCATAAAACTTGCTACAAGGAGTCCCATTATCCGAAATGTGACATCTGTAGACACTTTGTAAGTATCTTAAGTTTGCATTTGATTAAAATCGCATGTTTCGATTTTTTCTTTGAGAAGGTTCCGTTTTTCGGTTTTTTTGTTCTACTACAGATTCCAACGAATGCAGCTGGTCTTATTGAATATAGGGCACATCCTTTTTGGTCCCAGAAATACTGTCCTACACACGAGCATGATGGAACTCCCCGATGCTGTAGCTGTGAGCGGATGGAGGTAAGTTTAAGGGCTCGTTTGGATTGAACGATTTTCAATTCACGGATTTAAAATAACTCGTGAATACAAAAAATAACTTAAAAATGGGAGCTAAAGATTTGATATCCATCGTCGAACGAGCAATTCTAACAAACTCAAGAAATTCGTTTATTATGGGTTTGAAATTCGTTTGTTTTTGGATGTTTTATTATTTGATGCAGTCGTGGGATGCAAGATTTGCTGCCCTTAACGACGGTCGTAAACTCTGCTTGGAGTGCATCGACTCAGCAGTTATGGACACAGACGAATGCCAGCCCCTTTTTCGCGATATTCTTGAATTCTACAAAGGATTAAATATGAAGCTGACTCAGCAAGTCCCGTTGCTATTGGTCGAAAAACAGACACTTAACCAAGCTATGGGTGGAGAAACACATCATGTAAGAAAATGTTTTTTAGTTGAAACAATTTTTTTTTTCTAACGAATCGATCATTTACTTTGGTTTTCGAATCTTTTTATTGACAGGGGCATCATTACATGCCCGAAACTCGAGGTATTTGTCTCTCCGAAGAACAAACAGTCAGCACTGTAAGCCCTTCTATTTTCGTTTTTTATTTTATTTCATGTTCTTTTAATCTTTTCTATATAGTGGAAAATATTTATATTTACGTTTGGATTAACAGATATCGCGGCGACCAAGGATAGGATCCGGAAATCGAGCCACGGGCATGAAAACCGAGCCTTATAAATTAAAACGCCACTGCGAAGTAACAGCAATTCTCGTTTTATACGGCCTCCCAAGGTAAAAAAAAAATCACTTATTTTAAAATGAAGGAAAAAAAATGGAGTTTAAAAATAATTGATTATTATTTTTTTATTCGGATTTTAATTTGTCGAGCCCATGCAGATTACTGACTGGAACAATATTGGCTCATGAAATGATGCATGCTTGGTTGAGACTCAACGGTTCGTCACATTTTCTTTGTACTCGACAATTTTTACGATTTATTCACACACAAAATCACACACATACATGTTGGTGTGTGTAACAGGTTATCGAACTCTAAGAGAAGAAGTCGAAGAAGGTATATGCCAAGTACTCGCGAATATGTGGTTGGAATCTAAAATTATATCAATGTCGGATAACGATAGTGCATCAACCTCCGTTTCGAGTTTGTCTGAAAGAAAACTGAGCAAGTTTTTTAAGCACCAGATCGAAACGGATGCATCTGTTGTGTATGGAAATGGTTTTCGAGCTGGTCAACGGGCTGTGGTCAAGTTTGGGCTGACCAGAACTTTACATTACATGCGCAAGACCGGACATTTTCCGGAATAAATTTGGTGTCGATTTTCTTTTTGGGTATAGATTTATGAAATCATTCTTCAACACTGTATAGTTCAAAGTTGTAATATTAAAGATTTATATAATATAATAAAAAAAAATCATGTTTAGCTTATTATTTTCAATACACAGTATGCTATCTTTTTTAATGATCAAAACTAAATACATAAATAATCAGGTAATTTCAGGTAATTGGATAAAGAAAAGAAGCTGTTGAATCTAGGGATGGCAAGGGGTCTGTTTTGGGTGGGTTTGTTTAAACCCGAGAGCCGACCCAGGAAAAAATATATAAAATTTAGATCCACCCGCACCTGTCTTAACCTAGACCCGTATCCGCCCCGGCCTATATCTAAATTCTATAAACCGTCATATCAGCTAGATTCGTGAACATAGAACAAAAAAATTAAGATTTTTTAACATTCATAATATTTTGCTTATATAATTTAATAAAATAATTTCAAATTTGAAATGCAATATTTAACAAGTGATATAAAGTATATAATAAACTTATTTAATTAATTATATTTGTAACTTTTACAATAAATAATGTTCAAAAGACAAAACCGATAGCGGGTGGTCAACAAGTAATAGATATGACATGCGAGAAATTATATTCAAAAATTTGAAACGATGAACAAAAAGGGTAAATGAGAATAGACACGATGTACATTTTGATAGATGAAATCGAAATAATATATATATATATATATATATATATATATATATATATATATATATATATATATATATATATATATATATATATATATATATATATATATATATATATATATATATATTGTTAAATATAATATATTTATAAGGGTCGGCTTTGGATCAGTTGCAATAAAACCTGAAACCCGACCCAGAACCATCCGGTTCTAGAAACTAAAACTCATTATCTAATCCATAACCTTTTAACTTACATAGACCTATCGCAAACGGGTCGATTACGAATATGTGACCCGACAAACCCGTCCCTGTCGTCACCCACTCGTCAGTCATCCCTAGTTGAATAGGAAAAAAATGAATTTATGTAATTTAATACTATAAATTTTTGATTTGTTTCTTTTATGTTTTAATTTATAATTTATTGTGGATGATTAATAAATTAAATTTATGCCTTTAAAATAATTTTAACAAAATAAATCAATTAAACTAAATAAAAAATTAAATTAAAAATAAAACTAACTAAGAATATGCATTTCTCTTTATTTACTTACATTTAAAATCAACTAAAATCAGTAATATAGAATACAATTAAGCAGTCATTTTACTAAATTTAGTAGTATTTCTAATTACTAATTAGTCATCATCTTGTAGAATTCATCGAAATCAAGCACACCATTTCCATCGAGATCGTAAACCCCAATCATCGCTCTGCATTCCTCCACCGACCTTACATCTCCAAGGCGGCGGAGAACCTCCTTCAATCCCTCCGCCGTGATGCAGCCGCTGCCTTTCTCCTCCTCGTACACCTCAAAAGCCCGCCGGAGAACAACAACGCTATCGCCGCCATAATCTCCGCCGTCTCGCAGTTCCATCACCCGCACGAATTCTCCAAACCCTAGCATCAAACCCTCGCCTCCGCCGCCGGACAACTCTCCGATGATTTTCTCGGCCTCCTCGTGAGAAACGGAATCGCCGACGGACGCGAAGTAAGCCCTCAGCTCCGCGGCGGAGATCCTGCCGTCGGCGTCGGCGTCCAGGAATCGGAAAACCTGTCGAAACTCGTCCTCTTTGCTGCCGGCCGATTTCGGCGTCGCGATTCCCGATCCGCCGCCGCTGCTGCTGCCAGTTGGAGGGGTGGACTTTGAGCGAAGGCGGCGGGGGAAGCGGAGCATGAAAACCATGCTGCTAAATGGCAGCTTCGTGATGCCGGAAATCGCCATCGCAGATCATAAAAAATGACTGTGTGTGTATAAGAAACAATGAAGATGGTTTATATATAATTATGAACCACCGCCTATGTGAAATTGCATGGCAGCTTCCTAGATTTCCCAATTAGCCAAGGTAATTAAAGTGACTGATTTTTACCTTTGGAAATTTCCATGAAATTTCTACCAATTTTAATCCTTTATTTTTTTTATTTTTTTTGCTAACCTCATCTTACCAAATTACCAATTAATTACTATATAATGCTTCCCTCGTTTCAAATTAATATGAGCTTTTTAATTTTTAAAAAAGGGTAAATTACAAACACCCACTGAGGTATGGTCAAATTACCAAAACACCCCTCTTGTTTGGATAATTACAACCACCCCTCAACTCCTCAAATTTAGTGGAATCTTCGAGATTATATGGATTATTATCACTTTTGTATCCGTTTAATCCCATTCAAACTCTACATTATGAAGCAAGATGATCATAATATGTGATTTTTAACTTATATATATCAGTTTGTGGTGCACCGGAAACTGTATTTTTACACAAAACGAGTACAAACTAGAGCACATTTCGCGGAATCTAGATGACTATGTTGAATTTGGCACCATAAGGGTGGAGGTGTAAGAAAAAATCATAGTTGAGGGGGGTAGATGTAATTATCCAAACAAGAGGGTTTTTTTTTGTAATTTGACCATACCTCAGGGGGGTGTTTGTAATTTACCCTTAAAAAAAACTTAAAAACTGATTTTGAATAAAAAAAAAACTCATAATCACTTTAGAAAAATATTTGCAAATATCACCTAAGTATCAGTTTAAAATTTCGGTACATATATTAAGAAAATTAATAAGTATGTATGAATTAAATATACAATATGAATAAAATATTATTTCCCCTAAATTAATAAGTGTAAAATTAATAAAATAGTAAGTAATGCATTGTTGAAATCTATTATTTCCACACTAAATTATGTCTTTTTAATTATTAGGATAGTATATTCTCAGTATATATAGTTATATACTATTGTGTTACTCTCACGGTCTTTTATAAATTCAGTATCGTTTCAGTCATATTTTTTTTCTTCACATATCTACTAGTGTTACATTAAAGTTTCAAGGCAAGATTATTATTATTATTTTTTCATTTTAACCATAATATTAATTATATATATATATAAGACACAAAGGGGTGTAATATGGTTAAATAAGAATTATTTTAAGAGAGAGTTAATACCAAGAGTTAAATTAATAAGATGAAAATATGAAAAAAAAAAATCCATTTAATGCAGTATTGACAATCTAAAAGAATAGATAATATGAAACTATTTCTTTTTTTTTTTTAAAGTGATAGTTATTGCGGAATAAATGGAATAACATATAACTACTATATACGGAGTTGTTTTAAATATTTCCCTCACCTATTTCTTTGATCCAATTACAACCGGAAATTTTATTTTCTATCGAACGGATCGGATCAAATCTAAATTAGTACTCTGAGAAAGAAAAAAAAAACAATTTATTTTTCCAGAAATGAAAAAAAACTAATTATCTTTTCATTAATTTATTTCCGGGAAAAACCGAAAATTCAAAATCTAGGAAATTAGAATGAAAAGTTATTCCAAATCGGATTTTTTTTCTGATTTCAATCGTATATATTATTAATTCATCTATGATATAAAATACACAATAATATTTATATCACAAGTCTAATTTTATTTTATTTTCTGAATATTTTCAGAAATTAAAACGGGGTGGTAGAAAAAAAATCCGGAACTACCGAAACTCAGAATTTTCGGTATTGGGATTAAGAAATTTTACTCCAAAACTAAAACTTTTTCGAATTGAAATACCACCTGGTCAAACACGACATTAATGCCTATACCCCGGACCCCGGTTCTAGACAGTTCTAAACCGGTTGGTCGGGCCGGTCTAGAAATATGGATTCTGGGCCATAAATAAATGATTGCTGGTAGTTGGCTTTGGAAACATTTGACATATTCTGCTACTCCAACCACTGATATTACTCTTTAACGGTACACTGGTCCACACTAGATTCCTTCCTTCTTCCAAACACACCGTTAAATCTTCTCTCTCCTCTCTCTCTCTCTCTACATATATATATATATAAATATTATTATTTGTTCCTGTTGTATTGGCCGGCCGATTATCTGCTTCGGCACGCTCGAAGCCGTCGGAATTTCCATCTCAGGTATAATTTCAGTACATAGTAGAAACGAACATTCCGCCATACTCCACCGATTACTCGTCGGAATAATTCTGATTTTTTTTTTTTTTTATTTTAATTTTTATGATTTTATTAAAAATGTTATAATCGGAATTATCGATGTTGAGTTAGAGATCCATTGATTGATTTGGTGAATCGCGTTTTAAGAAATTCACCGCATTGACAATTTGAGCTGTGGATGATTAATGATTTTATGTATTGGGTTTTGGGTTTAGATTTGCGAATCTGAAAGGCATATATTTATGGAAATCTGTTTGTTTGTGTATGGTAGTTTGATGAATAGGAATTAACGTCTTTTGGTTTACTATGTAATTAAGAAGAATTATTGAGTGTATTCTAAGAAAGCTTAGGGTACAATTAAGGAAAAAAAAAACCATATTTGTCTTGTGTTTTTTTTCTGGTGTTTGTTTGGTCAAATCCAGGGGCAATGTTCATTTTGTCCCCTCTTGTTTGTTGACTAGAAAGGAGTTTTCTTTTAATAATTCTGCATCTTTAACATGTTCGATGTTTCGGGTTAAACATTTCCATACGACATACGTAAGCAACATCGTAATAGTACCCGATAGCATAGCAACCAAATTGGTTCATCGTATTTACAGATCTGATATTCAGTTGAACTGCTAAAAATAGTATTTTTCTCCGAGTAGTTCATCTCGACACCCTCACAAGTACGACATCTCGTTAAAATTTGTTTGTTCAGAATATTCAGTACGGTTTTGCAATTTTAAAGAATGATAAAAGAAGCTGATTTTTTCTTGCAGATGTGGGCTTAACAGGTTCAGTAATCTTTTATCTTGGACCTGGTTTATTGCCAAAGGATTAAATATTAACGAGACGAAGATGGAGATAAGCCAGTCCCTCCAATCTAAGCATTTCCCGTTGACCCCGTTCAGGATTTTTAGGGGTCTGCTATGTTTAGCAATTTATCTCACAACCGCGTTTATGTTCTTAGTGTATTTTGTACCCCCAGTTGCCGTAATCCTACGCTTGTTCAGTGTACGTTACAGTAGAAAATCCGTATCCTTCTTGTTTGGCCTATGGCTTGGTCTATGGCCGTTCTTGTTCGAAAAAATAAACAAAACGAGAGTTATCTTTTCCGGTGACAAAGTTCCGGTAGAGGAGCGTGTCTTGATTATAACCAATCACAGAACCGAGGTCGACTGGATGTATCTGTGGAATTTCGCACTAAGGAAAGGATGTTTGGGGTACATCAAGTATGTGCTGAAAAGCAGTTTGATGAAATTGCCGATTTTTGGATGGGGGTTTCACATATTGGAGTTCATCCCGGTCGAGAGAAACTGGGAACTTGATGAATCGGTCATGCGCCAGAAGCTTTCGACCTTTACCAACCGGAACGATCCGTTGTGGCTTTCTGTTTTCCCTGAAGGAACAGATTATACGTAATGTCTCGTCTTAACTTTCTGCAGTTTTCTATTTTTCGTTAAATTATAATTTTTCGTTGAAATATAGAATTTATGACATATGATGCTCATGCTTTATTTTTACAGAGAACAGAAGTGTATAAAAAGTCAGAAGTTTGCTAGTGAAAATGGATTGCCGGTACTGAAAAACGTGTTGCTTCCGAAAACAAGGGGTTTCAATGTTTGCTTGGAGATCCTGAGGGGATCGTTGGATGCAGGTCATTTCTTTTTCCCAATTATTTCTATTAATATTTTTTAAAAGGATTATTGTTAATTTTGATATTTTTGCATAATATAATACCTTCACTAATTAGTCTTTAGTGACCATTTCTATCCTTGATATGGTGGTTTCTTAAAAAATAACGGGGGACGTGGCCCCCATTGCATGTTGGCGTCTAGGGGTGTAAATTGGAATGGAATTTCCGATTTCGGTCGATTTGTATTCGAAATTTTCCGATTGTGGAACAATATTTTTCATTTCGAAATCCGAATTCTGATTTCCGGTTTTTACAAAATTATTTGGATCGGAATTGGAATCTCGCGGGATCGCAAACCTTTGTCCCGGCCGTTGCACATGTGTCGGCCAGGGCATGACTTGACGGCATGATTTCAGATCCGATTCTAATTTCCAAAAATTCCGATTTTTTTTTCCTCCAAATACGCACTTAAAATACCAATATTATTATGTATTTTTTTTAGGTGATAAAAAATTGGAACTTTATGAATTCCGCCAATTCTGATCTGAAAATTTTCGATTTTGGTACAAGTTTTTTCATTCCGATTTCTGAATTTCTGAATTCCGATTTTTCGACTTTTTTGGAACGCAATTGAAATTAGTTTATTACTTCCAACGAAAAATTCGATTTTTTTCGAAAAGGCTAATTCCGATCCGATTTGTCCGATTTACACGCCTAGCCTCTGCCAGACTGTTATTAAATGGCGGTGATTTTATTCAATTGCAAATACAAAGTGAAGTATCTACTTATTACACTCTCTCATAGTACTGTCGCATACAAGAAATGTACTTAGTTGTCTACCGGAAAGTCATACTTATCTCAGTTTCGATAAAAAAAAAATATTTGCAGTTTATGACGTGACTATAGCATACAAGAACCAGTGCCCTTCTTTCCTGGACAACGTATTTGGTGTGGATCCTTCCGAAGTACACATGCACGTAAGAAGAATCCCTCTCGACGAAATCCCGTCATCCGAAAGTGGGGCCGCTACTTGGTTGATGGATGAATTCGTATTAAAGGATCAGCTTCTTACCGATTTCATCGTAAACGGCCATTTCCCAAACCAAGGAACAGAGCCGCAACTTTCGACAGTGAAATGCGTGGCTAACTTTGCAGTTGTTATCGCGCTGACCTGTCTTTTCATTTTTCTTACGTTTTTCTCGTCACATTGGTTTAAAGTGTATATAGGTTTAGCTTGTGCGCACGCAGCATGTGCTGCTTATTTCAATATCGGACCGAATCCCGTGGTCGAATCTGACGAGACTATACGAGGTAGGGCCAAAACATGTTAAAATTGTTGGATTTTTTTTGTTAACAGAGTTGGTTGGTTTGTATGTATGGTTGATCTGAATTAGGTTTAGGTTTCATTTGTTTTTCAAACATAGTTCTGCTACATTAAATTGTATAAATATGTTTGTACATGTTGGCCAGCTTTTGGATATTATGTTTTACAAAATTAAATTATATTCCCTATTATTGCATGCTACCTACTAAAAATTAAAAATTAAAAGAAATCTTGCATGCATGATCTTTTGTCATTGCACACAAATATTTTAATCCTATAGCCAAAAAACAGAAAAAAATACTATTGGATAGACTGTAATCACATGGTAGTTAGAGGTTAGTTAGACAATATAGTAGGATTTCGATAAAGTAATAATCTCGCATAAATAATAATTTTTTCTGGTCTTGATTCGGTAAAAAACTTGTTAAATTATTAACTCGATAATTTAAAATTTCATTAAATTAATTGAATTTCTTTAATTTTACTATTAATTTATTAAGGTTTAACTATAATTATAATTTGTAGTCCCAAATGTTTTTTGTTTTGGGGGTAAATTTGACCCTTGGCATCCTCGAAGTATAATCCAAACAAACAAGGAAAACCTCACAAACCCAAAATTAAGGTGGTGTTTGCAAATGCTTTTTGAAAGTGATTATGCGTTTTTTTTTTGCTCATAACCTGTTTTCAGGTGTTTGCAAAATCAACTTTTGTTTTTGCTTCTCTTAGAAAAATCTGCTTTAAACTATTTTTTTAAAAGCACCCATAATCCTACTTTTTCTATTTAAGTTCATTTTCTGGAATATTTGCAAACACCCCTAACTTTTAGAAATAAGCACTTAAAACTAACTTAAATCACAATCACTAACTTCTGATTTTAAATAATCATTTTCAAAGACAATATAAGTTACTTTAAACTGTTAATTATGCACTGTCTAATTGGGCAAGATTAAATAAAGTATGACCAATAAAATATTTTATTTAATGTTTCCAATTACTAAGAAACAAACCATATGATTCCATCTCACATGTTCTGAAACTGACACTTTGACCTCCATTAGCTTGGCTTCATCAAAATTTAATTTTAATATTTTTTTTTAATTAAACCAGAAATCAAGAAAACAAGAAATTGTGAAGAACCAATTGCACTTTTCATCAAAATAAATAAATAAACAAAAGAAAAACAAAGCCCATGTCTATAAATAGGCAGCTTCTCAAGTTTGAACTTCCACCAACTCTCTATAATCCCACTAAAGCCCCCAAACAATTTCAAGAATGACGGTTAGGCCCCAATTCCATCTTCTGCTCCAAGCCCTCTTATTCACAGGTGATATTCTTTTCCAACATTCATTTAATTGATTTTTATAAATTTCGCAATCTTCGGATTTATGTTTTTCCCGGCCCTTTCTCTAATCATCGATATCGTAACCGAATTTAATGATCAGCAGAATTATTGTCAATGGCTTCGTCGACGTTGTTCACTCTCCAAAACAGCTGCAGCTACACAGTTTGGCCAGGCACACTCTCCGGCAACGGCGCCGCCGCCGCCATCGGCGGCGGCAGGTTTCCCATTGTCCCCGGGCGACACCATTCACCTTCCCGCCCCACAGGGCTGGTCCGGCCGTTTCTGGGCCCGAACGGGCTGTGTTTTCGACGATGCCGGAAATGGCCATTGCGAAACAGGAGACTGCGGCGGCGTGCTCCAATGCACCCTCAGTGGCGCCCCACCCATCTCCTTGGCGGAGTTCACGATTGGAAGCGGCGGCGGGGTGGCGGCGATGGACTTTTACGACATCAGCTTGGTCGATGGCTACAATGTGGGCCTCTCCGTCCAGCCCTCCGGCGGGTCTGGAGACTGCCAGTCGGCGGGGTGCGTGGCGGATGTGAACGCGAACTGCCCGGAGGAGCTGCAGGTGGTGGTGGAGGAGGGCGGCGGCGTGGTGGCGTGCAAGAGCGCGTGCGCGGCGTTCGGATCGCCGGAGTTTTGCTGCACAGGGGAACACTCGACGCCCGACACGTGCGCGCCGACGCCGTACTCGGAGATGTTCAAGAACGCGTGCCCGACGGCGTACAGTTATGCCTACGATGATTTGTCGAGCACGTGCACTTGTACGGGCTCCGATTATCTCATTACCTTTTGCCCATCAACCTGAATTATTTATTAAGACTGTAATTTGTACACACACTTGGTTATTTTAAATACATATTAAATTAATTTTTCCAATTAGGAATTTTGGTTGTTTGTTATCACATCCATGTTGGATTAGGTGAAGTTTGATAACATTTCTCTACGGTCAAATTAAAAAAAAAAAAAACCATCTTGTTTAAATAATTACAGCTACCCCTCTCTTTAAATATTTTTACATAAAATTGATGTAATAATTCGGTTATTTACCAAATCAAATCGTATATTCAGTTCAGTAGATAATATGAAATGTCGGCGAACTGAAATTTCGGTTCGATTTTTCCGATTTAACTTCCCTAAATTTACCTCTGAAGGAGTTTTTTTTCGTAAGATAATACATAGTTGAAGGGATGGTTGCAGGGGCGGAACCAGGATCAAAATGTAGGGGAGGCTAACTAAAATTTAAGGGTTCGGGCAGCGCCCGAAAAAAAATTTAGGTGCTCAAAACATTGCAAAAAATAAGTTTATATAACTAATTTTTAATTAAAATATCATATATATATAT